GCACAGATGTGAGTTCTGTGAAGCCTCCTCCACTCGGCTCAATACAATGTCGACCTCAGCAGAGGTCTCCATGACTGAAACCCACACAAGCGTTCTCATTCTTCACACCAAACAGAAGCCCCGCAGTTCTTTTCATCCCACCACCTGGATGAATTGCAATTGCAATGGACCTTAGCTGCTGCGTTCACCTACAAAATACAGTCACTACACCATAGCATAAAACGCTTTTGAGATGTTCTCCTGAAGTGAAATTAAATGCGAAGGTAATTGTTGTTACAATTACAATACAATGCAAAATTCCGTTTGTAAAGAGCCTTCCACATCGGGAGGACGTCCCAAGGCGCTGAACAGTCAATAGAACCCAAGTGGTGGGGTGTGGGATCAGGAGGGTGGAGGGCAAAGAGGGTAGCTGAAGGCATGGATGAAGAGGAGAGTCTTGAGGTGTGCCTTGAAAGAAACAAGGGAGAGGGAGTGAGGCAAAGAGAATGTGTGATGGAGTTCCAGAGGGTGGGGGCAGAGAGGCTGAAGGCCCGACCGCCAATGGTGGGGCGGGACAGGCAGGCGGACATGGAGCAGGCCAGAGCCCACTGAGCGGAGGGAATGGACAGGTTGATAAGGGGGTCGGAGAGGTAGGAGGGGGCAAGGCCACGGAGGGCCTTGAAGGTGAGGAAGAGAATTTTGAATTCGATCCTCTGAGGGATAGGGAACCAGTGGAGTCAGGCGTGATGGGTCATGGAGCCTGGTGCGGGAGAGAACACAAGCTACAGAGTTCTGGATGATCTGCAGCTTATGGAGGGAAGTGTTGGGAAGGCCGACAAGCAGGGCATTGGCATAGTCGAGCCTCATTGTAATGAAGGCATGTATGAGGGTTTCAGTGGACTGAGGGGTGAGGCAGTGGCGGAGTCGGACAATGTCGCGGAGTGGGGGAAGGCAGAGCCGGTCATGACACGGATGTGGGGGAGAAAGGATAGTTGAGGGTTGATCAAGATGCCTGGGTTCCTGACTGGTTGGGGAGATGGAGTGTGCATCTGTGGATGCTGATGCTGCCAGTGCCTGAGGTGCGGAGGTGCTGACACGAACCAATCAAGAGAGTCTCGATCTTGCTGATGTTCAATGGTAGAAAGTTGGCTCTCATCCAGGACTTGATGCCTGACAAGCAGTCCGTCAGGACATCAGTGGTCCTGGGGTCGAGGGTGGAGGCCAAGAGATTGTGTGTCATCCGTGTACATGTGGAAGTTGACCCCATGTCTGCGGATGATGTCACCAAGAGGCAGCATGTACCGGTTGAAAAGGAGAAGACTAAGGACAGAGCCCTGAGGAACACCGCAATGAGATGGTGCGGGGGCTGGAGGAGAAGACATTTGTGGAGACAAAGTGGAGCCATTATGAGAGATAGGATCTGAACCATTCAAGGACAGAACCTTGAAGGTTGAGGTGAGAGGAGAGGCGATGGAGGAGGATAGAATGGGCCACAGTGGCAAAGGCAGCAGAGAGGTCAAGGAGGACAAGAAGACAGAGGGAGCCCTGGTCACAGATGGACAGAATTTAATTTGTCACCTTGATAGGGCTGTTTACGTACTGTGGGCAGCACAGAAACCCGATTGGAGGGGTTCGTAAAGGGAGTGGTAGGAGAGGAGTGAAGCTGGGAAGCAAAAACTCTTTCAAGGACATTCGAAAGGAAAAGGAGGTTGGAGATGGGGCAGTAGTTAGTGAGCAGGGATGGGTTCAGGGAAGGTTTTTTTAGGATAGGAGTGATGACAGCTGTTTTTAGAGGGGTGGGAACGGGACCAGTTGACAGAGAGATTTATTCAGACCTTCGTGTTTTGACTCATCCATTCAGTACAACTCAGTATCACAGGGCTTTTCCACTGTACACCCCCAACACATCACTGAAACACATCGCTGATTCTGGCTAGTGCCTGGCACAAGCACAGCTTGTGGTTCCACAGCTCTGCTGATCACATCCCAACTCAAGAGCATGCTCATATAACACTTAAGACTGGCGTTCGCACTCGATTGCTATTGAAGACTATTAAACGCTTTCATTAGCGGTTGATCAGCCAGGATTGATTCGAGTCAAACCTCAGCGCTAAACTGGTGAGCAAATGAGCATTACCATTTCCCGTCAATGCTTAAATATCCAAATCATCTCTGATCTCCAATTAGCACCACTTGCCTTGTAATAACTGCAGAGCAGGAGATAAGGTTATAGATTTTGTTTTAACTTAATCCTCTTCTTTGTAGTCCAGAGCAATTAACAAGATGCATAAGAGTACTCGAATAACAGCAATATTTCACATTGCCCAAGTCAGAGTTGCCCCTTTATAGGACTTAACCAAAGTGACCGGCAAAAAGGCAAAGCTCCTTTTTCATTACGTTTCCCACACCTATTGTGACTTCCTCCTGAGAGCCTTGCAATTATCCATCAAAAATGCCCTGTGATGGAATCATTTCCCTTTCACTTAATGATTGAGGGTGTTTGACCTTGCAAAGCATCTCGTCGAGCTAATCTCCATGACAGCACGATCAGCCCTTAATGAGTAAAGTAAGGAAATGACTGATTTTACCACTGGGGAGTTGTTTCCTGCTCAACACTCATGGCTTTTGCTCCAGCTTTAGACTTTCGAATGGAACATATTCTTTTAGCTGTCAAGAGAAACCAAGGGGAGGTGAGGAGAAATATTTTCACACAGCGAGTTGTTCGGAGCTGGAATATATTGCCTGAAAGGTGGTGGAAGCTGATTCGATAACAATTTTTAAAAGAGCAGTAGATAATTTTTGGGGGAGGACAAGTTTGCAGGGCTATGGGGAGAGAGTGGGGGAGTGGGATTGATTTGGATAGCTCTTTTCAAAGAGCCGGCACAGACACTATGGGCCGAATAGCCTCCTTCTGTGCTGTATAATTCTATGATTCTATGAGGAGCGATAGATTAAAGGCCCATGACCCATTACAGCTAGATTTAGCAGTGGCTCTCAGGAAAGGAGGAGGAATGTGGTCACACCTCATCTAATACCTTACATTCCTCCTTAGATTAAGGACTGTTCTGTGTTCTAAGAGCCCAAAGATTTGAGATACAAACCCACTCTCTCCACCCTGTTGCAAACTCTTGCAATACCCTCTGAATTCTCAGTAAATAAAATAAACATAATGACATAAACATAACATCTCATCCGAAGGATGGCACCTCCGTCAATGCAGTACTCCCACAACATTGCACTGGAATGTCAGCCTAGACCTTGGGGTATGAGATGTGGAGCTTAAACCCACAATCTTTGGACTCAGAGGCCAGGCTATCGCACATAGGGTAGAGAGAAAACAAAGGACTGCAATTTGTAGAAAGTTCATACTTTGTATGTCAGTAATTTTCATCTTTTGACTTTATAGCGCTGTTTAATTGAAAAGCAAAGATTTAATTAAAATCACATCCGCTGAAAGGTCACTGTGAAAGTTCACCTATCTATCTGACCTGACAGCATTTGTGGTTTGATTCCAGATTTCCAGCATTCACCTTCCCCGTATTTTTTTTAATCTTCCTCGACTTGAACTTGCATAGTCTCAAGTTGACACTACAGCTATTTTGTTCCCTCTCTCCACTTCTCCTCCCCAGTTCCCAACCTGCTGTGTAAAGCATTTTTACATGAATGTCCTCCAAATATGAAAGATGCTATATAAATGTAAATAGTATTATATTGTATCGTGCACATAGAATTCAAACAGCAAGATTTATGCTTCATTTGATGTTCATCTCCAACAAAAAAAGCTTACTTTCATCCCCCAGAGAGAGATTTCCACCTCCCATCTGTTTAAAACAGAGAAGTGATCATAGAATTACACGCTCAGCAATGTGCACATGAAACTGTCACGTCATTTTATCATAATAAAAACAATAATCCTTGCACTTCATATAGCGCCTTTCATGTCGGGAGGATGTCTCAAAGGGTTTCGCAGGATTTTTGGGAAAGTGTAGTGACTGTGGCTCTGGCAGAAAGGACGCGAGGTAAGAGCTGGCCTCCCGACCTTTGATAGCAGTAAGTAAAACGCAGCTCATTGATGTGCAATACCTCAGAGGTGCCTTGGATTGCAAAATGTTTGCCTCCAAAGCTGAGAAACAGGTATTCAGATTGAAGCTGAGTTTACTCTATACCACTCTCATCTTTTTGAAGGTCTGAAATAGTTCTCAGCCTTAAGCTTCAAAGCCTTCGATAGGCCTGGAGAGGCAAAGAACTCTTGGCATCCCGTGACGCTCAATGGTTGACTTATTACTTCTCTCGAGACACCCAACATAACACTCTTCTCTCAACACCTTGACAAGATCAAAAAGAGACCGTGCATTCATCTGTCGTGTGCTTAGATCTGCCAGACCCTGTGTGTTAGCAGTGTACGTGCACACCCAGTCTGGAAGCAACCCGACACCTTTGCGTCTGTGAACGGATTTGATCTTGGGAATTTCAAAAACACTCAGGTGCAATCCAGCACCGCACCGTGCTTTGCCAAGCTGTTGCCCTGGGTCTGCATTAACAGGGAGGCAGAAGCACAAAGCGATAGGAAAGAACTGCAAGTGGAAATGCCCCCTTATTCCACAATGTCCCCACTCTCACCAGACAGAGAACAATTTCACTGCGCTCAATGGACTTAGATTATTTGCCTACTCTCTGGAGAACATTTCACTCTCCTTCAGATGAGGCATTAAACCCCGTCTGTGGACATTAAAGATCTTAGAGAAGAAAAGGGAGTTTTTCTCTCCTGGTGTGTTGGCCGACAATCCACCAGATAAAATTGATCATTCGCTTCACAGCTGTTTGTGGTACATCGCTGTGTGTAAATTGGCTGCCGTGCTTGCCCATAAAACACGGTCACTGCACTTTACAGTATGTCCTGTGAAGCACTTTGAGATGTCCTCCTGGCATTGTAAAATAGTAAAACAAAATCAGGCATAAATATCATCATCATCATCATCATTTCATCATTTTCATTGTTTGCAGCTCAATTAAGCACTCACCCTTCACAATGAGCTCAGCGTAATTGGACACTCCCGAGCCTCCATCCGACCGAATAACGCATCTGTATTTGCTCGTGGTCTTCTGCAGCGTGTCCGCCACGCTGACTGTGGCAGAAAAGCGTCTGTGATTCACCACCCGGGTCACCATCAGCTCTGTGTCCTTCCCTTTCCATTGCTGCACAAAACACATCAACAAAAAAATGACACGTGGCTCCACACCAGGCTGCACATCTGTCAACTTGGCTTTCCACAGCAGATTGTAAAGGCTTAAAGATTTGTTTTGTTTTGAGGGTCATCAGTTTCAGTTGTGACCCCACTGCCATCCCCTCCACAAGCAAACATGTGTCCTAGGTACCTACAGAACATCTGTGCCAGATATCTGCAGGTATCTTGGGTTCATCAAAATCCTAACCCCTGGGGCTAACCCTGGAGTTTGCATGCATCCAGCAGGTGTAGAATCCCATGCATTTACATCACCTGCACATGGAAATTTCCCCATGTATTAGAACGGAATGAGAGCTCTCTTTCCTCCGAGGCACCTACCCTGCTTACCTCATCCCAGAAAGTAATGCTCGGGGACCGCAGAGTGTGCGTTAGTGGAGACAAAACTGCACAGCTTGCCATTGAGAGTGCAGTCTAGCAAGGTGCCTGTTGCTTATCTTAGCTTAGATTCACCTATCCATTTGGGCATTGGCTTTCAGGGTCAACATTAGCTGAGTGGAAGGAAGAATCTCTGCTTCCCAAAGGAACAATGAGGAAACTAGCATAGAGAGAGATTTCAGGATGACTTTGCCAATGTGGCTTCAGTGCCCAAATGGGCCCTGAGTTGGAGGACACGTGGCTTGAGAGCGAGGGCAAAGGTGGTGTGACGGGTGGTCATTGTAGAGATGGTATGACAAAGGACTCCTGGTCCCATCAACCTCTGACCTCTTTGGAACTAGACCATAAAATCCCCAGCTAATGAAGGGCCGACATGCAAATAACTCATCAAAGACCAGGCAAGCACAAACCTGTAGCCAGAGCTTGTCGTGCTGGGACCACTTCCCACCCGCGATGCACTGGAAGGTAGCGTTCTGTCCTGCGTTGACCTCCACATTCTGAAGACGCAAGAAATGAGGGGCTTTCCCTATAGAACAACCACCGCGGGAACAGAGTCAGTCAGCCAGAAGTTCATGAGGAGATGCACTTTCAATATAATTTTAACACATTGGGGCCTAACTTGTGCTGGGTATTAACAGGTTTCCTTAGTTGAGGAAGAGAGGGAGTGGCCTTCCTGCAAGCCAGGAATAATAAATCCTTGCATTTGATATAACGCCTTATCACGTCTTCAAGGCATCTCAAAGCGCTTCACAGAATATATTGTGAATTGAATAGACTCTATATTTTGTGGGCAAAACGCAGCAGCAAATTGCACACAGCAGTGTCCTACAAACAGTCTGGACCAACTTCCGGTTATCGGAAGAAACCTCCATTCAACAACAACAACTTGCACTTATATAGCGCCCTCGCACAGGGTAGTGTCTCAGAGCGCTTAGCAGTGGCGGAGCCTGACTCCGAGCCCGAGGGGAGGGGGGAGGTGGAATTCGTTAGGAATTCTGTTAGGAAATACTGCAAGTTAGCGTTAGCGCCCACAAATACAAGTTAGATTTGAAGTTCAAATATCCAAATCCTTTTTCTGAACAAGCCTGGAGTTTGTTGGGCTTCGCATCAGGTGAACTGTTGGCAAGCTTGGATTGAATACTGATGTGAATGTGACACATATAAATTAATAACCTCTGAATGTCAAACCTCACGGCACGAAAATCAATGCAAGCGATGGTTTGGTTTGGATGAAAAAGGTCCTTTCGTCTAGTCGATTCATCCTTACCAGAATACCCACCTTACCTCCTTCTCATTACAGCATCAAGCTATCTCTTAAACCAACAGCCTGCATTTACAAAGAGCCCTTCACACAGGGTAGCATCTTGGGAGCGCTTAAAAATGGCATAGTTCACCGCCGAGCTGGGGAGAAAGGGGAGGTGACTGTAGGCACGGTCAAAGAGGAAGGTCTTCAGGTGTGATCTGAAGACAGGCGAAGAGGGAACAAGAGGGGTGTATGGAGGCAGGGAGTTGCGGAGGATCGTAACATAGACAAAAGGCATATATATGTCTTGCGGGTTTGATCCATGGAATAGCAAAGAGATTCCAATGACCAGCGAAGCTGCACATCACCAAGCTTGGTCAGCTGAGACATATAGCTTTGCAGCCAACTTACACTCACAGTATAGGCAGTAACCATGACATTATAGATGCCACTTACCCATTCACTAATTATTATAAACTCAAACCTGGTGCTTACATTAATCCAAGTAACAAGTTTACAGCAACTGATACAGCAAAACAAATACGCTCCACCCCAATCTGGTTACATTGTTTGATCACCAGCGTCTGATTTGTTTTGATGCAAAGGCCTAATTTATTCGGAGGAGGTGGGGTAGGGTGCAGTGGAGGGAAAGGGGAACAAAACAAGGGTTGGTGTTGGCTTCATGTAGGTTTTATATTAACAGGAATTACCTTGAAAATGCCCGTTAGTTCCCGCTTTCGAGTCCCTGTTAAATGTGGTGTGCACGGTGGGAGTCGATGGCTGATTACAGGTCAGCCGGGAAGCATATAATCAGTCTACTATTCCCTGCGTGCACAACAGACCATACTTAGCAATCAGAGGAGTATGGGGACAGGCCAGCCTAATAACTTCTGGTTTCTATGACAACAATCTGAAGCCAGGTTACCAGAGTGATGCTATTACTGCGGTGTGTGTGCGTGTGCATGTTTAATGGGGGGGGGGGGGAGGAGGGGTGAGAGGGCGTGGGGAAATGAGGAAGAATAAGAACAAAACGAAACCCATACAGCATGATAAAAAAATCCTCAGGAAATATATTTCCTTTGCCTTCAAGATAAGTTCACCTCCGGGTATCAGCTCGGGATCTTGGTGGTGAAACGCCTCAGCATGGGCCGAAGCACCTCAGGGCAGAAACAGAGAGGAGCCTTGGCGCGTGGGTTGTGTTATAAAAAATTCCCCATTGCCAAGGCCATGGTGAGCTGCTGCTGTGCCATGATACCTAAGGAGACTTCCAAATGGCAAAAACGGCCTGACCGAGAGTTACTAGGAACCACTGAAGGACCACTGTGGTGCAAACCTCAGTGCTAAACCTCTTAGAACCATAGAATTATACAGCACAAAAGGAGGCCACTTGGCCCATTGTGTCTGTGCCAGCTCTTTGAAAAGCGCTCTCCAAATCAATCCCACTCCCCCGCGCTCTCCCCATAGCCCTGCAAACTTGTCCTCCCCAAATAATTATCTACTTCTCTCTTAAAAGTTGTTATCGAATCGGCTTCCACCGCCCTTTCAGGCAACGCGTTCTAGTTGCATTTGCAATGCGTACCTTGCCTGACACACAGGAAAACAGAAGCAGGAGGAGGCCATTCAGCCCTTCGAGTCTGTTCCACTGTTGAGTTCCTAGCAGATCTTAAAATCCCAGTGTGCCACCTTTTTTGTCATTCCCCTCCTGCCACCTCTACTAACTGAACTTCCATGAGGAAGCCTTTGAGAAGTTACAGAATCGGCTGTTCACCTGTCCAGGATGCTGAAGTGTGGGGTCAAGTCTAATCTAGCACTAAACATAGCGATCATTTTCTCTACGATAACCAAATGATCCACAATGAGAAAGCGTACGTTAGACCATCCCACCCCCTCCATATGATGCCTCTAATTTATCTTGATTCATTTTTTAAAAAAATTCAAATAGTTTTTAGGCTTTGTATTTGGTCTAAGTTACACTTTCTCACTGTGGCCCTGTTTGGTTGTCGTAGAGATTTCTTTCACCCAGTATGAAACGCTGTTTCTTTTCCACTAATAGAAAAGTTACCACTAAATAAATCCAAACCACCTCCCTCCGGTCTCCTCCAAGCTAGAGCTGTGTTCTCGTGAAAGACAAGACGAGGTAAACTCTTGATTTAAGTTGTCTATAAGTCCTAGTGTCTGTTCTGATTGATCCTATAATAAAGTTATGCCAAGGGACCTTGGCTAAGAGAACCAAAGCTGTCAGTGCAGGAAGCATCTGTGTTGTTTACACGGAGTCTTCCAACTTCAGCATTTGTTTTAGGTGGTGATGTCGGGGGAGGGGGCAGGAGGGACATGGACAGAGAAGAGAAAAAAAGGAATACAGCATCTTGAACAAATAGATTCCACTGACACCAATGATATAAAGGCCAACCACACAGCCAGCACTACAAATAGAAACCTGTTCATTCCGTCCTTACAATTTACCCTCATAAAGATGAACCAGAAAGAGGTCACCTTCAGCGCATTATAACAGCAACAATCCTTACATGTGATACAGCGCCTTTCACGTCAGGAAAACATCTCAAAGCACTTCACAGGATATACCCTAAAAAGTAGTGACAGTCTGTTCTGTCTGAGAGACCCCCCACAGTTTACTGCAAAGTCTCCTTCTTGCCATAAGAATAGTATTGCCTGACTTTATTTTTTAACTTGCAATGACATTTATTTCACTTCGATTTGGGGGGATACGTTTTGATTTTTGGCAAACATTTTGGGGGTCAGATGGGTTTGGGACACGCATGAAAACCTGTCGAAATGCTTAAGTGCTGGTTTGTGCACGAGATGTTAAATTGAGGTCTCGTCTGCCTGTTCAGGTGGACGTTAAAGATCCCATGGCACTACTGGAAAAGCAAAAAGGTAGTTTTTCCTGGTGTCCTGGCCAACAATCCCCCCAAATAAAATCAGTCATTCACTTCAGAGGACTCGTTTGCTCATCTGCCTCCACACACACACACACCCACACACCCACAGCGCGCTCTCTGCAGTTGCCAAACCTGGCGCATCAGTCTGTGTGTATTTATACCCCGGGATGCCCGTCAATCACAGTGAAGCTCAGAGCAGTTCCTGTCGAGCCACCATCATTCCTACCTTCAAAAATAGCCACGAAAGGCCTCTCCAGATGAGAACCTTCAGCTGAAGCACTGACGTGCTGTTGGCTGAGAAATATTCTCTTCCCCAGCCCTGTTCATTCCAATTAACTTTCACTTCTCCAGACACAGTTCTTTGTCTTTCATTTGTATTAAATCCTTACGCAGAATTTACAGCACAGAAGGAGGTAATCTAGTCTGGCCCGTGACTTTTCTCCCACTTAAGCACCAAACCTTTATGAATTTCCATTCTGCCCAAGTAAATCAAAGTGTGTTTTGGGCCTTTGCAGCTCCAATTGTTCAGTGGAGCCACCATTAGAAGCTGACTCCGAACAAACAGTTTGGGGACTCACTGCAACATTAATCCTGGACCAACAAACACTGGATATCAGTATGACTCGCATTTCCTGTGGAACGACTCGAAAAAGAGAAGGCAGTTTCTCTAGTCCAAACCAATGTCCAGGATAATCCTGGAGGTGAAGAACAACCCCAGGCTTCTGTTCTCCACCACATCCTGACTCCTCCGTCCCCCCCGCCACCCCGCGCAGGTCATCTCCTCCAACCTTCACTGCGAGGAGATGCTGGATTTCCTTGAATCCAAAATCAAGGGAATTCGCTCCGTGGTCACTGCCCCTCCAACTTCCACCCACCCACCCCCCACCCCTTCCTTCCCACACTCTGAATCCTACCCATCCTCCCCTACACACCTTTGAACCAGTTTCCCCACCCTCTGTCACTAAACTCATCCTGTCCTTGAAACCCAATACCTGCTCCCTGGACCCCATCCCCACTCCACTCCTTATCTCCCAGCTCCATCTCCTTGCCCCACTTCTCACAGACACTATTAACCTGTCCCTCTCCTCTGGCTCTGTTCCCATTCCCCTCAAAACTGCTACCATCACTCCCACATTGAAAAAATCCTCCCTTGATGCGTCGCAGCTATCAAGCTACCGGCCCATCTCCAACCCCCCCTTCCTGTCCAAGGTTCTTGAAAGAGTCATCGCCTCCCAGCTGCGCTCTTTCCTCTCCACCCACTCACTTTTCGAACCCCTCCAGTCGGGTTTCCGTGCTGCCCATAGCACGGAAACTGCCCTGGTCAAGGTCACCAATGACATCTTGACCATCTTGCTCCCTCTGCCTCCTCGTCCTCCTCGACCTATCGGCCGCATTCGATACAGTCGACCACTCTATCCTCCTCCACCGCTTGTCCTCCCACCTCAACCTTCAAGGCCCTGTCCTTGAGTGGTTTAGGTCCTACCTCTCCCACCGTCTTCATTTTGTCTCTGCAAACGGCTTTTCCTCCACCCCCCGCACTGTCTCGTGCGGTGTCCCTCAGGGCTCTGTCCTCGGTCCCCTCCTCTTCACCCTCTATATGCTCCCCCTTGGTGACATCATCCGCAGACATGGGGTTAACTTCCACATGTATGCGGATGACACCCAACTCTACCTTTCCTCTTCTACCCTCAACTCCACGACCCCCGATGTCCTGACAGCTGCCTGTCCGACATCGAGTCCTGGATGAGAGACAACTTTCTTCAGCTCAACGTGCGCAAAACTGAGGCCCTCCTGATTGGCTCACGTCAGCGCCTCCGCACCTCAGGCGCTGACAGCATCAGCATCCAAGGCCGCACTCTCCACCTCTCAAAGCAGTCAGGAACCTCGGTGTTCTGTTCGACCCTGAGCTGTTCTTTCTTCCCCACTTCCGCGCCACAACTGGCACCGCCTTCCATCACCTCCGGAACATCGCCAGACTACGGCACTACCTCACCCCTGACACAGCTGAAACTCTGGTCCACGCCTTCATCACCTCAAGGCTGGACTACGGGAACTCTCTCTTGTCGGCCTTCCCGGCACCTCCCTCCACAAGCTGTAGGTCATTCAGAACTCTGCAGCTCGTGTACTGTTCCGCACCAGGCTTCGCGACCACATCACTCCCACCCTCGCTCGCCTCCACTGGCTCCCCATCCCCCAGAGGATCGAATTCAAGATCCTCATCCTCACCTAAGGCCATTCATGGCCTCGCTCCCTCCTACCTCTTCGACCTACTATCCCCCCACGTACCTGCTCGGACCCTCCGTTCCTCTTCTCCGGTCTGCACCCGCCCTAACCGCCCTACCATCAGTGGCCGGGCCTTCAACCTCTCAGCCCCTAGGCTCTGGAATTCCATCCCCCAGTGCCTTCGTCTTGCCTCCTCCCTTTCCTCTTTCAAGGCTGGTCTCAAGACCTTTCTCTTCAACTGTGCCTTCAGCTCCCCTCTCGACTCTCTACCCCCTCCTCGCTCCCTCCCTTCCCTCCCCTCCTCGCTCCCTCCCTTCCCTCCCCTCACCGTGACCATTTCCCCCCTGCTCGGGTCCCGACCCAACTGTCCAGCACCTTGGGACATCCTCCCGACGTGAAAGGCGCTCTATAAATGCAATCTTGTTGTTGTTGTTATCCTGGCCAACAAGTCTCCCACACAAAATTGGTCATTCACTTCATGACTGTTGTGAAAGTTAACTGTTGCATTTGCCTACAAATGAACAGTCACTATACTTCACAGTAAAATCCTGTGAAGCCCTTTGGGACATTTTGATGACATGAAAAGATGCTGTGTCAAACACAAGGATTATTAGAATACAGAATTAGATCCAAGGATGGGAGGGCGGGCGGGGGGTCGGGGAGAAGAAAAAACATTGAAATACGGGTAGTATATGGATAACAAAATGTAACTAATAAAAGAATGTCTGAAATACTGTTATTCTAACTCAAAGGAATCTTTTAACCAGCTGTGATAGATTCTCTCAATCACTGACATTAAAAGATAAAATCCGTATTGCTCTGCAGTTAATAGCTCATTAGTAGCATAGCCATGCTTCTCAATGGCTGACGTTGTCAAAATATTATTGGGGAAGCTTGCAGTGAATACAGGGAGAGGAGGTAAAGTAACCATCGGCATCTGTGGGAATAGCTTTCAGAATATTATGACAAGTGCATCAGAAACGTGCAGCAAAAAGAGTACCCAAATGATTGAGTTCCACATAAGTGTGGACCTTTCCATTTGTCTGGTACAGTGTGCACCCTCTCTCACTTCCTTCTCTCTCTCTCTCACACTCACCTTCCTCAGAAGGGATGTCCTAATCCCTGATAGTTGAGATGCAAGTTGGCAAGAGCCAAAGCTACGGTTGCTACCTACTTGGTTAGGATGCGAGGACACACAGAAAGGCCAGGACCCTGAGATTAATTTAAGGAGCGGCTTGATGCTGCAGTGGGAGGACGTTGGGTTGAGAGCTGTGAAAGGATGAGATCCAATGGGCTTAAGGTAGGGTGACCATATTTTGTAAACCAAATCCGGGGACACATATTGAATTGAACACAGAATTGAATTTACCACAATCCCTGATGCTGGCAGTTACTGGAGAAGTGTGTTGGATTAATGGCTATGTTTCTCTGATGAGTGTATCTGTTTTAGAATGTTATTGTTCTTGCTCGGTTGGTTGCTGAGCTCAGGACAGGGCAAAATTGGCCCCAGGAACACAATATCTCACTGTTCCCGGAAATCGGGGGGGAAGTATGGTCACCCTACCTAAGGGTCTCCTTCATCCGAACCTCTCTTGCGATCTCACGCGAGCCGCCTAGTGCATCTACTTACTGCAAGGATGAGCGAGCACCCGAACTTCATCGACGGCTATGTATCCAGGGTGGTCCTTTGAAGCCAACGCTTCGATAATAACCTGAAATGGTGGTGATGGTGGAAGGGGTGGGGAGAGAAGTCAGGAAAAGCAAGTTAATTTCCTGCTCGAACAAACGCTGAGCAAAAACGAACCTGTTCTTTAATTTCCCATTGGTGAATTACACAGAGACTGGGACACGGCAATACCAGGTGCTGTATGTGGTATCTCTTACTCTTAGCAGCATGTAACGTTCACACTGCTCGCTGGCTCTCATTTCCATGCAATCAACCGGTCTTGAGAAATGTGCGGAGAATCTTTCATGCTCTGTAAGCCCCCTGTTCGAGGTATGATGACATGCCAACACTACCGGCCCCCACCCCCTTGGCTTGCCCAATCCAGTGTCATATTGGCGCTGTGTTCAGATTGCCTGAAAGGAAGGATGCTGGGGTGCAGGGGAGGGAAGGGAAGCATAGTTTCCCTCAAATCCCTCTGAATTGGCATTGAGCAGAGCCTGATTATCAGGGTCCAATCCCCGCATCCAACAGCCTTGACCATATGAGCGAGCTTGATGTGATCGACACTTCCAGAGTGTGATGCCACGTGGCCACCAAATTCCCCTGGTTCCTGGAATTGCTCCCATTCTCCAGCGCTATTTGCACTGCCTGACATTCCCTACCCCCTTCCCTGCTGCTTACAACAAATGCTGACACTTGCCAACAAATCACTGTGATTCTCTTCCAACCCAACCATGCAATCTAAACACCGCAGATAAAAAAAGAAAGATAAAACAGTAGAAAGCATCCTGAAAAATACCACTAAGGATGTTATTTTTTTTGGGGGGGAGCGGGTGGAAAGAGAAACGAGTAAAGCACTGCCCCCACCCCCCTCCCCACCCCACCCCCCATTAGTTTCCTCTTCATTACTTTCATACTTCCATTATTCCCTGGTTTTACAGAACAGCTACCTGGTAATAGTTGGGCCAAAAGGTACTAATGGCCAGCTCTGCCTTAATCCATCCTTCGGTAACGATTCCCGACACATTCCATACAGGGTTGCCTTGAGGTCCTCCATTCACCTTCACATAGACGTTCAAAGCGCCCGGACTTGCCCTATCCTTGCTGGATAGGGAATAGTGGAAGTCAATGCAGTGGGTGTCATTTTCCTTCAATACAGGCAGCAGCAGGTGTGCCTTCTGTCCCGACACCCGTGCAGAACTGTTCACCATCATGAAGGATCCTACAAGAAGCAGAGAGGTAATAAGGTAACATTGCAATCACGGATTTTAAGTTCTAAGCATCCAAGGGGGAGGGGGTTCCCTCTTGATATAAAATTGATCCTTTATTTCAAGGCTGGCTACGTGTAGGACGTTTCTGCACACAAATTGGCTGCTGCGTTCGCCTACAAAATACTCAGTCACTTCATTTTACGGTAATTACTTATAAAGTGGATGGAGACATTTTGAAGCAAAGAATTACTATAATTATTTTTATTATTATTAATATAATTACAGATCCATTGGAAACCCGAAACAGCTAACTGAGCACGTTCCATGTTCAATCTGCAAATCAGAAATTAGCTGTTCAGTCACATCCATCTTCAAATAATACAAATTAATGAGCGTAAGAATTCACCAATTAGCTGTTTGACCTTTATAATTGAGTTTAGCATTGTTTACACTGGTGGTAAACTATGGGGAATGGAAACAGCCTTGGAAATATAGCGGAGCCCGCAGTGAAGAGAGGATGAGTAAATCTTTTGCTAGTTAAACTACTTAGATTTCAGCACTCTGAGATGCTAGCCTGCGTGAAGGTCGATCGCGGCTGTTTGTGGGACACTGCTGTGCCTAATTGGCTGCTGCGTTTCACCCACAAAATACAGTCAATCCATTTTACAATATATTCTGTGCATATTTCTGTGAAATATCCTTTGAGATTTCCCAATGACACTATATCAAATGCAAGGGTTATTATTATTATACAAATGCAAGGAGTTATTGTTGCTTTGGGTGCCGTGAAGCTACTTTGGATCAAAAATCTATTGCCCCAAATCTAGACCCAATGGACAACTTTGAGAGGAAATATCAACCATAGTCCAATTCAACTGACAATTATAAAGTGTCTTTCAGGTCAAGAAGACACCTCAAAGTACTTCAGGAAAGTGCCAGGAATTAGCTCTGGAAGTAATCATGGAAAATAATGCACCTGGCATTAAGTGTCATTGTTGGCCATTAGCACCGACTGGAAAACAAACCATTGATAAATCTGCTCAGTTCATGTGATACACAGCAGAAATCTAGCTGTACGCATTCAGACTAAGTCTTTGTTGCTTGGATAAAATGTGCATAATCAGCATGGGAGGGGAAATCAAATCAGAATCATATTAAGTATCAGCTAAAACAGCTTGCTGGAGTTTTAGGTAGGTAGAATGAGGACTTGATTGGATATTAATGAACAATTGAAATGTTATTGTAACAAGAAGAGTTATGCCAAATTTCTGCACATTTCAATCAAAACTATTTTCCATGAAATAAATGAATATTTATCCCCAAAAGCATTTGGTTAATTCATACTGATGGCCTCTTTGTCCCCAGTTTACAAGAACGCTTTATATGTAAAAATATTTCTATTTCATGAACTTTGCAATGGTTAAAACGTTTACACACAGTCTCCAGTAAACATGAACTCAAAAAAAACGTGGAAGGCCCAACAAGTCTTTTTGATCATTCTCCATCTCAGTCACCTCCCTCAGCTGTATTAGCCCCACCATCGAACAGGTTTTAAGCCATTCTGCCCCTGCTTTTTGGAACTTCATCTCTCCAAATCGCCCCCTCCCTCTCCACTTTCACAGCTCACCTCAAAACTCACCTCTTTGACCATGCTTTCTGTCATCTCTCCCCCTGCCCTCCATTCTTTATAAATGATCTGGAACTAGGAGTAGCAAGCACAGTGGCTAAGTTTGCAGATGACACCAAGCTAATGAAGGTGCAAGATTGCGAAGCTGAACAAGATAGGTTACAGGAGGATTTGAACATACTTGGGAATTGGGCAGATCAAATTCTGGAAAGGAATATTGTTTGAACGGAAGAAAAATAATATGTATGGAAATTGAAAAGGACCTGATGGTCCTGATTGGCAACAAATTGATGCTCTGCCAATGATGCTTTGCGGCAGTGAATAAAGCAAACCAGATGTTGGGATGTATAAAAAGATCAATAGCAAGCCAAAATGGTGGGGTTAGCCTGCCGCTGTATAAATCATTGGCGAGACCATACTTTAGAGTATTGTATACCGTTCTGGTCACCACAGCACAAAAAGGATATTGGAATAATTGAGAAGATACAGAGGAGGACAACCAAAATGATTGAGGGAATTGAAGGACTGGACTATGAGGAGTGACTAAGTAAATTGGGCATGTTCATGCTGGAAAAGAGAAGATTGAGAGGTGACATGATTGCTGTCTTTAAGATTCTAAAGGAGCAAGACAATAAAGATCATGACAGGCTGTTTTAACTTGTCCAGAATGGTAAAATCAGAGGACACGGCCTGCGATTGAAGGGGGTAAATTCAGAACAAATCTATGAAAACACTATTTCAGTGTGCAAATAGTGAACCTGTGGAACAGGCTCCCTGGAGAGACAGCTGAAGCAGGAAGTGTTGATTCTTTCAAACACAGATTACATAGTTTTCTTTCAGGAAATAACATGATGGGATATAATACATAGGTAGTTTGGACATATGTGTATGCGACTGCCGGGAAGGTGGAAGGCGAACTAGATGGATCTTGGTCTTTTTTCATCTTTGCAACACCCTCCAGATGCGAAACACATATAAACATTACAGGTTTCCCTACTCCAAACATTGAATCCGCTCCCACGTGTGTAATCAATTCAAGATCACATGACGGGAAGCTAAAACCTGCTGCAACTAAAATGTGCATCGAGCTTCCACAATATAGTCCTGATTGTATTCATAAGAGACCGCAATGTATTTTTATTGACTAGTAATTGCCTGAAGCAAAGTAATAAGCTCAACTGAGCCCATTGATTGCTACCAGTGGATTGTCATTTCCCTGTATCACAGCGCAATTTAGGAAAGATTGTTGAAAGGGGGACGCAGATTTAGCATAATGATCTGTATATTCAAAACACTCAGGCTGATCACTTTTAAGCTCGTTTTCTATCTGAGCTAATTACTTTCGCATTAATATGCGGCGTTAAACACAAATTAAATTGTAAAATTTCTCCCATTTGAATATCTGGTCCCAATTCAACAATTATTTTTAAGAAATAATAAAGTTTGCCGTTTCCAAAGCAAACAGAAAGGAATGAGATTAGTCTTAAAATGTTAAGCTCAATCAATCACACCTTCAAGTTGTGGCTCTTCATTCAATAAAGATAGGCAACATAAAATTCAGTTCCTCCAACAATCTAAACGAGGGATCTGATGGAGATATGTGAGACAAGGTCACAGTCAAGTCACGACTTTTAACAAATCTGCTCAAACTTCTAAGAGTGAAACCTAATTACATTCACACACGTGAACACCAAATGCCTATTCATGAACTTTACAATGGTTACATCAAACTTTCCCACACACAAAGACCAATGTCCCACAAACAGCCAGCAGATGAATGACCGATCTCATCTGAGGGATTGTTGGCCAGAACGCAGGGAGAAATATCCTTCTCTTGAATAGTGCTGGATCTTTAACGTCCGCATGAACAGACGGGAGCTTGGTTTAACGTCGCATCTGAAGGACGGCACCTCTGACAAATCAGCACTAACTATCCCATGGCACAATAGGAAAAGAGAAGGGAGATTCTCCTGGTGTCCTACATACAAACAAATCTTAGGATAAAAATTGAACATTCACTTCACAGCTGTCTGAGGGACATTGCGACTACAAATACACTGTACACCAATCACCTCTGAAGTATTCAACAGCGAGTAATTTCAACAGATAAAAAAGAATGGAAGGATTGTTAGGATTGTTATAATAAGCTCTTTTAACAGGACTGCTACTGCTTACCTTATCAGTGTGTTTCATGCAGGTTCAGGAATATTTTTCATTTTGCTTTGATCAAGTCAGATGTAATATCAGATTTGAAATGACTTATTATGTTGTCTTCCCTCACCTGTTGTTATGGAACCACTTTTGTTCTCCATAACAGCGGAGGGAGAGAACTTTGGTTCGTGAGGTGGTGGTTGGGGGGGAAAGAAAGAGGAGTATGAGTAGAGTCGTGGGAAATAAAACCTAATGAAATCCTTTTATGTGCAAATGCATCAGGAAGTGGGAAAAGATAGGGGCACTTAAAGTTTACCTGCCCAGAGATTGAGCTAACATGACCTTATTCAAAAGGTGGAACAAAAACAAGGCAAGGCATTGCTTTGGCTTCCCACTGAATTACCCCCAGATGCGAGTCGCCGTGTGGGAGCGTGTAACAGGCACCAAGTTATTTTCTGCTATTTTCTGGTGTGACATTCGAAATAATATCATTGACTTCCACAGTTCATTAAAGCCATTTGACTTGGATCTGAAATGTAATTGCTTAACCTGGCAGGCATAGCCTCCCTCGTAGATTGAAAATATCTAATCATACAGTCTGGTTCTGACAATTTGATTGAATGGTGGATTTGGATATACAAGCGGAAAAACCTGGCAATTTGGTGTTTGACAATCTACAGGAGTTGTCCATCGTGGAAGGAGGAGACTGGTGAGGAAAGGGACCAGAATAACAATTAGCAGAATACAGGGCACAGAACGGGGGAGGAGGTGTTGGGAGGGAATCCCAATGTGGTCCCTAAAATGGGAAAACCTTATCAATTCACACTACCAAGGCTGGTGAGTTCACCACCTGGCAGAGCATGATCCTTATCCCCTGTCCAAGGTCAAAAACACTCACTGACAAGTGAAGCAGTGCCACTCTCTCGGGACCTCCATTGGGCTCATTTATATTCCGACCATACCCGAATGGAGCACGTGTCCAATTGAGAGTAGTTAAATAAGGTTTGCTGAGCCACAAAGATAATTTAGCGCACTTGTACGCTCAGGAAACAAGTAAACAATTATCAATGCTGATTGCTGTTTAGAATAATAATTATTAACAATAATGATTAATACTATTAATAATAATCCTTGCATTTGATGCAGCACCTTTCACGCCTGGAGGACACCTCAAAGCGCTTCACAGGATACACTGTAAAGAATAGCAATACTGTGCGTTTTGTCGGTTTCTGA